CACAAGTACTGCTGCGACGACCCGCACAGCTTCTTCCCCTACGAGCACAGCTACATGTGGTGGCTCAGGTACTGGCCCTGGCCCTCACCCCACCGACCACCCCAATCTAGTCTGAGCCCTCTCTTCCCATCTCAGCCAGGCTGCGTAGTCAACCCTCAGTGCTCATCCAAGTGCCCATCCCAATATCGGCGCCACCCCCCGCGGGCCCGATATTAACGTTTGCCCTCATCCATGACCAACCCGACTCCCTCTGCAACCCCTTCTCAGCTCCATTCCCCCATCCTGATCCTGATCCGAACCATTATTCAAATCAAAACTTGAACCTCACCCCAACTCCACCCAGGAAAACCTTCAGTTTAAACCCTCTCCAAGCGTCATCCACCACCACCCTCAACCCAACCCCAAATTACATACCAACCCTCTCCCCAACAGCAAACTCCCATCTTCCAATGTTCACAGGAAACACAAACTCCACCCTCATTCAAGTACCCACCAGGGTCTCCTTCCTAAGATCAACATCAACCTCATCCCTGACTTTACCGCCCAATACCCATCTATCACCAGCTCAACCTGCCCCTAATTCCCCCTGCAATCCCACCACAGCTCTCCTTCCCCACCCTGATTCCAAACATTATATAGACCTACATCCAAACCTCAGCGTCAAGCCTTTCTCCTCACCTGATGCTACACCCAGCTCAACCCCAGCCTCAGCCCACCTCAACTCTTTTCTTCCCCCTGCCATTCATTCTTTCAGCCACCTCCTGCTGAGCACAGCTTTTCTAGGCCCTGTGCTCAGTGCTGGGGGTGTACTCCCCTCCTGAGCTAAGACAGAAGACCAAGGGATCAAGGCTGCCTTCAAGTTCATCATGAGACCATGGCATAATGCTACAGCAGAAGCCCGCTCAGGCTGTGCCATAGCAGTGTGATGACTGGCTGAAGATCCACCCACAGGGCCTCAGTTTCCTCACTAGTTCAGGGAAGGGATTAGTTAGGCCATTGCTGATATTCCTGGAACTTCAGTGTGGGGCTGAGAGAGCAATTGGTCTCAATCTCTTTCCATCTCCAAAGGCCTCACCCAGAAAGTAAGACTTGACCCCAAACTTGCTCTGGGAAATAGGCATCGGCGGAAACGGAGTGGGCTAACTCAGTGGACAGTGATTTTCCTGTCCATGGAGGTAGTTCACCAGCGGCTGCATGCCCTCTGAGTAGACAGCCTGCCACTCAAACTTCTCTGAGCCTTTGTCTTTTCATCTATCAAACGGGAAGGATGATAAATCATTGCCCTGATTTCCTACTAGGGCAAGAACCAAATGAAATAAAGAGGTGAAAACCAACTTGGCATCTGCCACTGACAATTAGTTATTATTATTGCTTTTTCTTAACAGCTCAAACCATAATTCGAAAGGACTTTCAGATAGCTAGTGTTTCAGTTCGTGCACATTCAGCTGCTACCTGTAACCCAGAGAAGTATATTAATTTATTTTCTGTTCATCCATGTTTTCATTCATTTATTATAGCCTGTGCTTTATGCCAGGTGCTATGCTATGCACTGGGGACACAAAAATCAATTATTCCCTGCCCCTCAGGAGCTTACAGTCCATTCAGAGAGATAAGACATGTACCTAACATGTAACAATGGAGTCTTGTTTTAAAACTCACTGCGTACTTAGCGCTGAAGTGGGTGCTGAAGTACCTGTATAATAGTACTTACTTCCCTTTGAAGTATAGAGACAATGTAGAGCTTTTGGAGTGGTTAGAACCCTGTCCAAACCTCGGCTCTGTCACTTACTAGTAATAGCTATGTGAATTCAGGCAAACTATCTCCGAGCCTCCTTTTCATCTCTGAAATGGTAATAGTAATACCTGCCCTATGGAATCGTTGTGAGGATTAAGTGAAGTATGCATGTGAAAGTGACTAGGATGTATTGTAGATGCTCAATAAATGCGAGTTCCCTTTCCCATGCTCATAAGTGGGGAAAGGGAAACTTGAAATATGAAAGTGAATTGTTCAAGATCTTCTAGCAATGTCACAGCAGACTGAGATTTAAAGAACATTATGTAGGACCATCCAAGGCTAGATGCATTCACACATTTGCAACCTGGCACGTTTTCTCTCCATTTTACAGATGAGAAAACTTGAAAGCCATGAGGTTACTATCAGGGAGTGCCACAAGCCTGTCTGGCTCCAAGCCCAGGCTTGTCCTGCTGCACAACTGTCTAAATGTAGCCTGGCTGTCTTACAACCTGCTCTACTCAGATCACTTGAAAAAATACTCATGACCCTTCACTGTTTTCTGAGCACTGTGCTAGCCCTTGGGAACAGAGAGATGAGGAAGCTCTCTGCACCCAGCCAGAACCCTAACCCTCTACGACCAACCCTTTTCCCTGTACACCCCTGTGTCCCTCCAGTTGCCTTGGACCCTCAATAGAACACTTTAGTGGCTTAGACAACCAGGTAATGGTTTTAATGGGGTAAGTTCTGAGGTCACATCACATGTTAGTGTGCTCCCATCTTATGACCCCAAGGGCAGGCTCCCATCTTATGACCCCAAGGGCAGCTGAACGGTTCTAGCTTGCAGGGCTGACTCTTCCTCAGTTTGAATGTAAGGTGGTTCATAAACACCACAGGCTATTGCAAAGTAGAGGAGGAAAACTGAAGGTCCTCAGGACATCTGGGTGATCAGTGAACCCCAAACCCTGAAAACTCTACTGGCATGCTCCTATCAGTTCCCTGCCATTGCACTGTAGAGACCTTATTTTGCTCTGGACTCTACTTGACCCTTTTCATGAAGGCTGGCCCTTAAAAAACATAAATCTTCAGGTAAATACTGTTTCCTTCAATAGACCTCAAGGAGAATGAGAATTGCTGTCTTTAAAACCATGTCTCAAGAAGTGAAGACTCAAAAAGAAAAAGAAAGGGGAGGGAGGGAGGGAGGGAGGAGAAGGAGGAGGAGGGGGAGGAGGAGGAAAAGGTTCCCTGTGGATAAGCAGCTGGTGTTATAACTATCTGGTTATTATTATTATTTTTTTTTATTAGGATGTGAGACAAAGGCAGTGGCCCTGCTGGAGGGCAGAATTAGTGGCCAGGCACTGTCTTATTTAACCTTATGAACACCTGGTGAGAAAGGAACCTTTACAGATGAAGAAAATGAAGATCAAGAGATGAAGGATTTTTCAGCTTATATGTGACAGAACCAGGATTCAAAATTAGACTTGCCTGACTCAAAAACCCTAACAAATGTTAGACTGACCCTCCAATGTTTTTCTAGGGGCTCACAGTAGGTTATCTATATTTCAGAGTCATAAATCTGTGAAATTGAATTGAAGAGCTAGCAGCTGTTCAATTTCTCACCCAGGGCAGGAATCTCTAACTTCATTGAAAGGTGTCCTCATCCAGGTGTTCTGTGTAAATCTGTCCAATCATAGGGAATTTACCCGCCTTGAGGCAAAGCATGGGACAGCTCTGACCACTTAAAGTTCATCTTGTGCGAGGCACAGATTTCCCTCCTTAGAGCTTCTCCTGCTCTGTCCCAGCTCTGTACTTGGGGGCTGGTTCCTCTGTCCCAGACAGACCATCTGAAACAGTGCCCACTTCCTGACTAACCACTGATCTGGAATATATCCCCCCTCAGCTCTCTCACCCACTTTTTGTTGTTGTTGTTGTTGTTAATCCTTACAGTGATTTTTAAAAAAAATATATATATATTTTATTGATTTTTTTTACAGAGAGGAAGGAAGAGGGATAGAGAGTTAGAAACAATGATGAGAGCGAAACATCGATCATCTGGCTCCTGCACACCTCCCCCTGGGGATATGCCCACAACCAAGGTACATGCCCTTGACTGGAATTGGACCTGGGACCTTTCAGTCCACAGGCTGATGCTCTATCCACTGAGCTAAACCGGTTAAGGCCTTACAGTGATGTTTAGAGAGAGTGGAAAGGAGAGAGAGAGACAGAGGGAAACATCAATGTGAGAGAAACTCATTGATTGGTTGCCTTCTGCACACACCCTGACCAGGTCCAGAGAACCTGCAACTGAGGTACATGCCCTTGACTGGAATCAAATTCAGAGCCCTTCAGTCCAGGCCAACGCTCCATCCACTGAGACAAACAGGCTAAGGCTCACCCACTCTTCAAAGGACCATACTTTTAGAGGGCCCTTTCCATTCAGGTGGCCATAGATGTCCCTTTTAAAAGGTGGGATCCCGCCGAAACCGGTTTGGCTCAGTGGATAGAGCGTCGGACTGAGGACTGAAAGGTCCCAGGTTCGATTCCAGTCAAGGGCATGTACCTGGGTTGTGGGCACCTCCCCAGTAGGAGATGTGCAGGAGGCAGCTGATCGATGTCTCTCTCTCATCGATGTTTCTTTCTAACTCTCTATCTCTCTCCCTTCCTCTCTGTAAAAAATCAATAAAATATATTAAAAAAAAAAAAAAGGTGGGATCCTAACTTGTGCACAAGTCTCCAGCTAAGAGCATTATAAACAACTAGAGATCTGTTGCATGAAAAGACTCATGCAATACACCTTCCCTCCCCCTGGCTACAGGCACCGGTTTTCCTCCGGCACCCGGGACCCAGGCCTTTGCTCCAGCTGGAGCTGCCTTCCAGCCCGCCAGCCCCAGGTCCCCCGCGGGAGGGCCAGATGAGAGAGGGGCGGGTGGCGGGGATTGCCGCAGTCCCTCCGGCCGGCCACAGGTTGGGTCGCACATGAGACGCCCGCTGCCCTGGGTCGCAGATAGCAGGCCCGGATGGTGGCAGGGCAGGCGGGATGGCGCTGTCCCGCCGTGTCTGCAGTATGCAAATAAGCCGCCATCTTTGTTGGCGGCTAATTTGCATATCACGCTGATTAGCCGATGGGAGGTGTAGTGAAGGTACAGTCAATTACCACGTTTGTCTATTATTAGATTAGATAGCTATATCTCAAAAGAGGAAATAATGCCCAAAGAACTAACAAGTACTACATGCTCTATGTGGAAAATGTGGAAAGGACAGGAGAGATAAAAGAGGAAAGAAATCATGGGAGATCCAGTATTTTAACTTGGTTTCCCCAAAAGACTTGGAAACAAGGATTTGAGGGCAGATAGTTTACATGAAATCAATTCTAAAAGACACCGGCGGACGGTGGGGAATTGAGGAGGTGGGAAGAGAAGGAGCTAATGATGGTGTTACCAAGTAAGTCACCACTGAGGCTCACTGGAACTTAAACCTGCTAATCTCAGCCAGCCAATGTAGAATCTGCATCTCAGAGTCATTTGGCCCAAGTGCCAAAAAGCTGGGTATTTACATACCTACTTATGTCAGTCATTAGTTGTGTGCTGGTGTGAGAAGGCAGGCGTTCATTTTCCTGCACTTCTGACCTGCTCACCGTGTTGGTACTGTTCTGGGCCCAAGAAAGCCCTCAGGCAAAATGATACAAATGTTAGCATTTGAAACTCTGGCCAGAATAGTTTACAATTATAAACCTAAGGGGCAGAGACAGGACATTGAGAGCCTGTGCTTCAGCCAGCGACAGCCTGTTAGCATTTTGGTGTATTTCTGTCCAACTTTGCATATGTATAATTATGTATATATTTGTGTTAATTTATTTGAGTTGGGGTTATGTTATATATTTAGTAGTGTGTCCTCTTTTCACTTAACATTATCTCATCTGAATTTAGCCTTGATCTTAAATGTTATTTGAAAACATGTTTTTAAGGGCTCTATATTATTCCATTGCGGGGGTATCCAATAATTTATTTAGCCATGGGAATACAGATTCTCTGAAGCTCTAAGGTGTTTCTGTTTAGTGGAAATTAGCCATCAGCTAGCAGGAAATGAAATCTGGCAGAAATGGCAAAGGCAGGAAGGAGTCTGTGGCTTGGGTCAGGGAGGAGGGTTAGAAGGAATCTGCGATGCTGTGATTTATAAGGTATTTGGTGTTTACCCACAATTCCTGGCTCACAGCTCCCAAAACCTATGGAATTTCCTAAGTGTTGAAAATAATAAAGGTGTCTTTTGGGCTCCACCCAAGGGTAGGGTCTGGTTGTCAGGAAAACCAACCACATGATTAGAGATTTGGTTTCATCCTCCTCATGCCCCTTTTTCCTGACCTCTTGGAGAAGGGCTGGAGGTTGAGTTCAGTAGTCAATGGGCAATAACTTAGTCAATCATGACTACATAATGAAGCCTCTGTAAAAACCCAAAAGGACAGTAGTTGATCTTTTTATTTTTTTGGAGAGCTTCCACATTGGGGAACAAGAATGCTTCCATGTGCTACCAGGCTTCAAGCTCCACAAAGCTCTTCTGTTCATGACGTCACCCTATGTATCTCTGCATCTGGCTGTTGATTTGAGTCCTTCAATATCCTTTTTAATAAATCATCTAGTGAGTAAACTATAGTACTGAGTCCCAACTATGTGGTTGCACTGAGGCATGCCATGTGTGTGGGGAATACTTGACATATAGTTGATACTTTCCCAGGCTTAGGCACAGAAAGCCTGTTTAAGACAAGTAGAGACAGAACAACACTTCTCTAACATGCTGCCTCCAAAGTCCCTTTCTGAAGCTCAGCTCCTCTATGGTCTTCTCTCCCCAGCATTGGTGCTCTTGTGGGCCTGTCCATAGCAGCGGTGGTCCTCCTGGCCTTCGTTGTCACCGCCTGTGTGCTCTGTTACCTGTTCATCAGCTCAAAGCCTCACACAAAGTTGGACCCAGGTTTAAGCTTACAGACTACAGGTAAGAAAGAGGTCACATGCTCTCCTTGTATTCAGCAGACAAGAATTTTTACGAAGGGGACGTATTTAGAAATGATATTTTGAACACTTGCCTCATGAGTGTTCCTGGAATATTCAGAAGGAACAGCACAATTCTAAAGAGGTTTTTGATCTGAAGATGTCCATTCTAAACCTTTCATGTGCTCTGTGTTTATCAAAACAATTTGATGTAGTCAGCATTCTGTTTGTTAGACAAAGATGAATCCATCTTGTGGATTTTCTAAGACAATGTTTTAATTCTAGCCTTAGAAAATGCAAACTGGTTTTAATATTACCCCAAACAAAATACAATTAATAAGAAAAATTTGCTGCTCCCCAAACTCAATTTATTCAGAAATTAAATACAGGTATTTTTGGATAATCTGATGTTCTTGGCCTACCAATTTCTTTATTAGTATAGGTGACCAAGAGCTTCCCTACAGGGTCACCTTCAAAGTTTTGCTTTTGCACATATTTTACAACCTCTTCAAGGCACTGTGAAAGAAACAAGTAGCTATTGGCAAAAGATCTTTCAGTACAGCTTGGTAGACAACACTCAAAATGGGTAGTATTATTTCCATTTTACAAATGAGAAAATCAAGGCTGAGAGAGATTAGGTGACTTGCACAAAGTACCACAGCTAATACATGAGAAGACTGAAATCTGGCCCATGTTTTCCTGCCTTGAGTCATGCTCTTTCTTCAGCCCACCACTCCGGGTCTGGCTAGGTATACAGTTAAGCACAAAATTGTTTAATACCAAATGTAAGGGGTGTTTCAAAAAGGAAAGGAAACTTGAATTGGTGCTGAATTAGTGAAGGAGTTGGTTAGGCAAAATAGATGAGAAAAGGCATTTCAGGATAGGATAAATAATGGGTAAAGGTGTGTGGGCAGGACTGAGTGAGACTATGCAGTACCAGGGTCATTCACGCTGGGGCGCTGTATGGGAGTAAGGCCAGGCTGGACAGGGGAGGAATTTAAGTTCAGAAGCAAAGATGGCACACTCAGTCAGGGAGGGAGAAGGGGCAGGGTGGGTAACAACTAAGTTTCAGAGAAAAGTAGAGACTTTTCATTTGCACAAGATTATTTTTCCAATTTCACAACAAACTCGTGCAAAAAACGACAGCACATGAACACACCTCAGATCCTGATGCTTACAATAATCCCACTGTGGCCGAGCAGTAAAAAGTAGAAGGGCTGGCTTTTGAGGGCTCTCCTTGGAGCCAGGAAGACCTAGGAGGAGAATAGGAAGTGGCAGGAGAATAGACCCAGCCTCAGGGAGACCAAGGATAGCCCAAGCTTCAACTTTTTTTTTTTAATAACTTTTATTTATTGATTTTTAGAGAGAGAGAAAGAGAGAGCGAGATTTGTTGTTCTACTTACTATGCATTCATTGGTTGATTCTTTTTTAAAAATATATATTTTTATTGATTTCAGAGAGGAAGAGAGAGGGAGAGAGATGATGAGAGAGAATCATTGATCAGCTGCTTCCTGCACACCCCCTACTGGGGATCAAGCCCACAACCCAGGCATGTGCCCTTGACCAGAATCGAACCCAGGACCCTTCAGTCTGCAGGCTGACGCTCTATCCACTCAGCCAAACCAGCTGGAGCCATTGGTTGATTCTTATATGTGCCCTGGCCTGGAATCAAACCCACAATCTTGGTGTATCAGGTTGATAACCAACTGAATTACCCTGCCAGTGCCCAGGCTTCAACTTTTATAGAGAAAAATCATAAAAGTTAATGAGAGGCATAAAAGAGCCTGACTATCTGGTGAGGTACAGAAAGCATGTGAATAGGAAGACTCAATGTCATAGACGAATCAGTTCTTTCCAAATTAATCTATAAATAAAAACCCCAACAAAAGTTTTAATGGAATTTGTCAGATTCATTCTAAAATTAATATGGAAGAGTAAAGGTGCAAGAGTGAACAAAACAGTTTTGAAAACAAAGAAGAGACTTGCCCTATCAGATACTAGAACATTTTTCAAAGATAAGAATTTGTCAATTTGTTATTGGCACAGAAATTGACAGGTAGAATTGGGCAATGCAGTGTCCTCAACTAGTGCAAATTTGCTACCCAAAGATATTTTGCAATGTGTGGAGACATTTTTGGTTGTCACAACAGGCGAGGGCTACTACTGGTATCTTTTTTTTTTTAATATATTTTATTGATTTTTTACAGAGAGGAAGGGAGAGAGATAGAGAGAGTTAGAAACATCGATCAGCTGCCTCCTGCACATCTCCTATTGGGGATGTGCCCGCAACCCAGGTACATGCCCTTGACCGGAATCGAACCTGGGACCTTTCAGTCCGCAGGCCGACGCTCTATCCACTGAGCCAAACCGGTTTCGGCGACTACTGGTATCTTTTGATAGAGGCCAGGGATGCTATTAAACATCCTACAACACAGGATAGCGCTCCACCACAGAGAATGATCCAACCCAAAATGTCAATAGTGCCAATGTTGAGAAACCCTAGAATAGAAAGTCCAGAAACAGACTAATTAAAATATAGAAATTCAAAGAAAATATTTAATTATTATTACTTTTTAAAAATATTTTTTATTGATTTCAGAGAGGAAGGGAGAGGGATAGAGAGATAGAAACATCAATGGTGAGAGAGAATCACTGATTGGCTGCCTCCTGCGTGCCCCCCACAAGGGATCAAGCTGCAATCCGGCATGTGCCCTTGACCATAGGCTGACACCCTATCCACTGAGCCAAACCAGCTAGGGGCCCTTGCTGGTTTTCAGCCCCAGATATTATGTGTGCACCTCTTCCTGGCTCTGGTGCTCTGAGCTGGGGAGCCTCACTTGGAGTTTAGACCCCACACTTCTTAGGGGGAACCCCCCCGCAGCTGAGGTGTCCCTCCGGAATCTTAGCTGCTGCCAGTAGGATTGGGGGCCAGCCCTTCTTGCATCTCTGCCCTTCCTACTAGTCTCGTTGTGGCTTCTTTAAATCCTT